TTGGTTTCTGGAAGCGGACTGGAAAGTGATTAATATAAGTTGCAAGAACATGTTTCGCAATCGAGCTAAAATAAATATGTTTAAACCAAACATTCAGAATCCAGTTTTAATATGACCGACTTAAAAGTCAGAGTTCAAAGTTTTGAGGCTTTATATCATTAACCACTTGAGGATGACTTGTGTTACATTGGTGAGAAGTTTGTTTCTTTGAAACAATAGGTCACAGAACTCAGGTTTCAGACAACCCACTTTATAAAATTTAGCTTCAGGTATACATAACCCTTCCTTTGCCACTTTCTTTTTTATGCCCCCGCCATGGGGGCATATAGTGTACCCTGTTCCTTCATTCCGTACTTCCGTCGTTCCGTCATAATCAGTTTCCGTTCATTATCTTGTACGGTTTTATGCAACATTACTTCAAATTTGACATATGGTACGGCCAAAGGCTTATGCGCATGTCAGTTCGATTTTGTCATGGTTTTTGACGTTTTTTTGGCATGTTATAGTCCTTTCACTTTTGAATAATATGAACCTTTAACTTTTGAAAAAAAAAAAAGGAAATTTTCAGTTCCCCATTTCATTATCTCCCCAACAGTTGTACATATTCAACTCAAATTAAGATATGGACTATGTCATAAATGCATTGCTGTCAATTTCTGATTTGGTCATTGTTTGATGCATTAGCTGACAAGTTATCCCTTAAAACTTGGAAAAAAAATCAGAAATTTTAAGTTTACCGTTCATATCTCCCCACTGGTTGACACAATTCAACTCACAATTTTTACATACAGATACATCTTAAGAAATAAGCTGTTCAAGTTTGAATTTGGGTTGTGGTTCAATGATTTTGGACAAAGTATCTTTCTTGATGTTGGAAAAATTTGATTTTCGTTCAGCACTATCTGTTTTTGTGGAATGTATATTGCATTATTTTGGCTACAATATGCAATAGTGCCTTGAACTTTGTACAAAATGGTTTGTGTAACATTTAATATTTTAAGGCTATATTGAACTTTAAATTGAAAAAAATATTTTTGTGCAAAATTTGGAACTAAATAAAAATCTGAAATTTTTGCTGCATGCGGGGGCATCCATGGCTTGACAACACATTTCTAGTTTTTTGTCTATTTGGAAGAAAAAATGCAGCTATTATGATATCTGCAGTGTTATTGTTGTTGTTATCATGCAAAAAGCTTTAATGTAAACCTTTACCCAAACAGTTCTAAAGGTATCTATATTAAACTTGCTTATGGAATACTTGCTTATCATGACAAAAAGCAGTTCTAAGATAAGGGGAATAATTTTGAAAGCTATATTTTTGGAGATATGCCCCCTTTTTTCCTCTGCCTTTTTGAAGAAAAAAGGGGGATATAGAAAAAGGCTCTGTCCATCCTGTCAAATTTTCGTGTGGTCAAATTTTCGTGTCCGGTCCGTAAGTACATATATGTCATTTATCATTGGAATTGAAAATAACTTGGCACAAATGTTTGTTTATATAAGATTATGTGTCATGCACAATAACAGGACCTACCTCCAGTCAAGGGTCACACTTGGTTGATAAAAGTCAAACATGTTCTATTTGAGAGGTTATATGTTGTGTCCCGGTTCATACGTCACTAATCCATGAAGAGATGCGAAAATACTTGGCACAAATGTTCACAATAAATATGATGTTGCAATGCACAAAAACAGTTGCCTACGTTGGAGGTCAAAGACTTTACATTTAGTCTGTTATGGTAATATTTTGTGTTCCGGTCCATAAGCTTCTTTATTATTTCACTATATTTCTTTAATGAATTTTATTGTTACTTGCATGTGCGATCTAGCATTATCAAAATTTTGTTACTGAAAGTCCAGATCCCATACCTAAATCTTTTTTGAATAGCACAATTTTGTGCTTCATGTAAAAAACTTCCCTTAGGCGGGGAGAGTTGGTTATCCCTGTTACAATTCTAGTTTTAACATTTTTGTCATAGGGATATTTTAACAGACCATTAGTTTTAACACCATAGTGCTGTTTGTTGATGCAGGTCACTTCTACAGTCTATTTGGTTGATGGTCGTTTTTATTCCAGCATACTTTCAAATTAGGCTACTGACAACTTTGTTTATATTTGTTTTAATGAAATGAATCCATTGTTTATGTTAATTCACTCAATTGTTAGGGGGAAGTCAAAGGGTTTCAGGCATTGAAATTACCAAGAGACACCTATTTAAAGCGAAGAAAATGTTAAAATAAAAAAATGAACACAATTTTTTTTCATCATAGGCTTTAGCCTACTTTCATATTATAGACTGATTCCTGGGAGGTAGTTATTTCTCATAATTCCATAATAGATCTACTTCTGGGAATCACTTTGAACAACAATAGACTTCCACTTCCATTCAATCGGTCTCAATTAATTATATTTACCTGTTTTAATTTTTGTGCTGGGATTAGTTGTCTAAAACTGACTTTCAAAAAAAAAAAGTACCTTTAGTTTCAAGTTTTAATTTTTATGTGTTTTCTTATTACTTATTTATAACCTATTGACAGAACAGACCTTGTGATAAATTATATGTAATTGTGCCGAGACTATTCAAAGAAGTACATTTAGTGTTAAGTAAGAACATTTAAGTAGTACTTTAAGTTAGTGTAGTAGTCTGTGGTATTAATTTAGATCTTTTGTACAGTTTATGATCTTTGTACATTATGATCTTTATGTGGTTTTGATCTTTGAGTACAGTTATGATTCTTTTGAAGTAGTTTTAGTGATTCTTTGGACATTATTTGATTCTTTTGATATGGTTTTATGATCTTTGGTTACAGTTTCATTTATGGCTCTTTGATGTAGTTTATGGCTTCGGTGCTGGTTATGATATTTTTTCAGGTTTTTAGGTAGGCACTTCCACAGTTAATTTCAAGTTTCTGCCTTTCAATGTCCTACAAGCAATACGTCTAATAAATTCTGATACCAAACTACACCCAACCTGGAAAAAGAAAACACTTTTGTTTGAGAACATATTATGACATTAAGATTGCAAATCTACAAAAAATTATTCCCATCTGCAACATAGGCAAGGCAGGTCACAAAAAGTTGCAATTCATTCCTTTGAAGGGCCCCAAAAATCTCCAGTTGGCACGAGACCCAAAAAACAACATTTCGACCCCTCTGGCAAAAAATATCTGCAAATATACAGGCTAACAAGGAACACCGTTCTCTGCTTTTAGCAACTCCCTATTCATGCAAAAATATCACAAAGAAACTAGTCCTCAAAACCTTGTTAGAATTTTTGCTTACTGCCCTAAAAATTTGCTACCCCCCTGTTAAAATGACTTCTTTTTTACCCGTTGCATGCTTTTTAAAAGCAATGTTTACAAAAAAAATGGCTGGCCTTGACATTACTTTTAATCAACAGCATGTGATTTCTAGGCCATGTTTTCGAATTTGCCATTGATCATTATTAGGATGTCACAAAAACAAATTTTTATGCTGAAAATGCAAAATTTTTAAAGACAAACCAGTCATTTAAATCCAGAATTTCCTATATCCAAGAAATTTTCCTCCCTGGCCAAATTCTAAAGCTGTGGCTTTACATTACTGTGGGTGTGCACCCTTTAAGTCAACTTCCAATTTGGGTGTCACCATCCCTCGCCTTTTAATGATCAATATGGTGCATAGTGCACTAGAAGTGTACAAAGGCTGGGAAGTTTATTGTGAACCTCAACAGTAGTTACTTTGGTAAACTGCTTGTTGCCCAGGAAAAGATGTTGGTAGCTGGGAACATTTGCTGGGTTGTTTATTCAATCTGGCTTATTGCTTGTGATCCAGAGTTTTGAAAACTACCTATAACACCACCAAAAACCATATTAAGATTTGAAAAATTTTTTAATGTGTTAGAAAAATTATAAATGTTTTTCCTTTACTATGAAAACCCCAAAAATTTTACAAAACTAATTATGAAATTAGGCAAAGCCTATGCACGGGGAAGTCGTTTAAAAAAATTCCTTTCATTCTTTCCCGTTTTTAAAGGTGTCAGTCGGTTATTACATGGCACCGCTTTTCCGTTTTCACTCGGAACACCGACGTTTATTATTTATCTGAAAAGTTGAGATTTGTTTTCCGTTATCGGGGAATATCCGAAGCCTATATTTAATCATTGGAGTAACATTTGTAAATTGGACGGCGGCCCCGACCTAGAACTGAGACCTTTGAAAATTTTTCAATTGATTAGGTATTTAGATTCCTATATATTTTTTTAATTGGGTTTTTTATTTAATTTTTCTTTTAAATATAAACGAGTAGTCCTATAGCGGGGCAAGCAAAAGCCTGGAACCGCTTCGGCTGGGCCCCCGGTCTTTGACTTCCCCGTATTAATACATGTATCTAGTTGATAATTGTGAGTCTTGTAAATTTTAAAACAAGTTGTAGTGGAACCTGCATTTGGCTGCAATAATAAATAGAGGATAATTTCCCCTTAAACTTATGTATACAAATACACCCTAAATTTTTTTTTTTTGGTGTACATTTTTTATACATTATTAATTATTTAAAGAAAATTATTTTGTTTTGTTTCATTTCAAAAAAAAAGGAGACCAAAACATTCCGAAATAAACCAAATCAATATTACAGACTATGTAGGTGAATTCCCCAGATCTAACATCTGGAATATACAGAAAGTACATTGAAAAACAGTCTTTACCTAGGTTTCTTGCTACAAATTGAGACAGTTTATTGTGCTTATACACACATTTAAAATCAGCATTATTTCAGCATCATGACAAAACCAACATATGGGTTTGCGACCAGCAATGGATCCAGACCAGCCTGCGCATCCGCGCAGTCTGATCAGGATCCATGCTGTTCGCTAACCAACCCTAAATTAACAAGTAGCAAAACTGATGGCGAACAGCATGGATCCTGATCAGACTGCACGGATGCACAGGCTGGTCTGGATCCATGCTGGTCGCAAACCCATTATGTTAGTTTTGTCATGACACGGCTCATTTTGTAATTTCAGAATTTTGTTCAGTAAGATACAGCAGTTACTGGGTGGTAGACTGAGAATGATGTTAAGTGGTGGTGCGCCACTCTCGGAGAAAACACAGAGGTTTATGAACATTTGTTTCTGTTGCCCGGTATTACAGGGTTATGGCCTTACAGAGACATGTGGAGCCGGGACAGTCTGTGATGGTTTGTGAATAAATACCTTACAAGTGTTAAGTTCATGTAAAGATACGCAGTTTCTTTCCTGAATTAATTACCAAAGGTGTCATATGACTACATTAACATGGATGTTTTGCCAGAAGGGCTCAAACCCTTGCCTTTAGAGGCTAGCATCTTTGCCACATTCAGGAGTCTGCTCCTATTTAAAATATGGATGTTTAGTGCATTAGTTATACATGTACATGTATAAGATATAGAATGGTATAATGATTATTAGACTGAAAGTATTTGAGATATTTAATTCCCATAAACATTGAGGGGAGTGTTTTATTTCCAATTTTATATATTATATTTTAAATATATGGTATGTTGTTTATGTGTATTTGTTTTCTATTGTATTTCAGTAAATGATATGAGCACAGGGCGTGTTGGACCACCTTTGACATGTTGTGAAATCCGACTCAGAGATTGGCTAGAAGGTACAGTATTAATACTCAGGGAAAATAGTGCAAAGAAAGTAGTGCTTTTTTATGCCCCCACAATGTGGGAGCATATAGCGTTGCACTTGTCCGTCCGTCATTCCGTCCGTCCGTCAGTCCGTCCGTATGTCCCGAAATCTTGTGAACGCAACTCCTCTTAAACCGGATGGCAGATTTTGCTTAAACTTACAGGGATGAACAACCTTAATGTGTAGATGGTAGTAAAGGAAGGAATTTTCGCTGCGACCAAATTTAACAGAATTATGGCCCTTTGTTGATTTTTTCACTAGATACTATGTAGAAATTTTGTGAACGCAACTCCTCTTAAACTGTATGGCAGATTTTGCTTAAACCTACAGGGATGAACAACCTTAAGGTGTAGATGGTAGTAAAGGAAGGAATTTTTGCTGCGACCAAATTTAACAGAATTATGGCCCTTTGTTGATTTTTTCACTATATACTATGTAGAAATTTTGTGAACGCAACTCCTCTTAAACCGGATGGCAGATTTTGCTTAAACTTACAGGGATGAACAACCTTAAGGTGTAGATGGTAGTAAAGGAAGGAATTTTTGCTGCGACCAAATTTTACAGAATTATGGCCCTTTGTTGATTTTTTCACTATATACTATGTAGAAATTTTGTGAATGCAACTCCTCTTAAACCGGATGGCAGATTTTGCTTAAACTTACAGGGATGAACAACCTTAATGTGTAGATGGTAGTAAATGAAGGAATTTTTGCTGCGACCAAATTTAACAGAATTATGGCCCTTTGTTGATTTTTTCACTCTATACTATGTAGAAATTTTGTGAATGCAACTCCTCTTAAACCGGATGGCAGATTTTGCTTAAACTTACAGGGATGAACAACCTCAAGGTGTAGATAATAGAAAAGGAAGGAATTTTTGCCGTGACCAAATTTTACAGAATTATGGCCCTTTGTTGATTTTTTCACTATATACTATGTAGAAATTTTGTGAATGCAACTCCTCTTAAACTGGATGGCAGATTTTGCTTAAACTTTCAGGGATGAACAACCTTAATGTGTAGATGGTAGTAAAGGAAGGAATTTTTGCTGCAACCAAATTTAACAGAATTATGGCACTTTGTTGATTTTTTCATTATATACTATATAGAAATTTTGTGAATGCAACTCCTCTTAAACCGGATGGCAGATTTTGCTTAAACTTCCAGGGATTAACAACTTTAATATGTAGATCGTAGTAAAGGAAGGATTTTTTGCTGCGACCAAATTTAACAGAATTATGGCCCTTTGTTGATTTTTAGTTTTCAACTTGTGGCACATGTAGTCCAAAAAATATTTGACCTAGAGTCATAAGATTGACAGAACAGTGGCGTGTGGGGGCATCAGTGTCCTATGGACACATTTCTAGTTTATATGAAAATGGCAAAAAAAAATAGTGCAATGTTTGTTAATATCTATTTATATGACATGATTCAGAAGGTCATTATCTATGTCATCTTACTTGCTCATCTTATTTAATACATACTGTTTGATAAATATTGTCATAAATAATAAACAACCACAGAAGTATTTGTTACATGTAGTTAAGATGTCCCTGAAGAAATTAGGTGCCTAGCATTGCAGTGTGTCTTTTTTTTTTTAAAAGAAACTTTGATAATAAATGCCAACATCCCACATATTGTATTTGATTTACACTAGTTTGGATATTATAGTATATCAACTGTGCACTGAAAAACATTTGACATAGCCATGTTTGTTGAATCTTTTAACATTTCACTACTTAAGGTTTGAGCTCCAGATACTACATGTGAGAAAACTATCCAGCTAGCTTGAGGAACGTCAGTAGTTCTTCTCAGATACCTGTAAGTGCCTGAAATAATGTACGGAGGGGTCCCTGAGGTCTTCCTCTACCTGTAAAGCTGGAAAGTCACCATATGACCTATACTGTGTCGGTGCAAATTTAAACCCAATCAGAACCAAAAAAAAAAAAAAAAAAAGAGAAACTGGTACAACAAATCTTCATCTATACCAGAATTAACTTAACAAGCTGTTATAATTATGCTTACTGTTATAATTTTTTTACAGGAAATTACCTGAATACAAACAAGCCTTGCCCCCAGGGTGAAATTCTGATAGGTGGTGGCAATGTTGTACAAGGTTATTACAAGAACAAGGAGAAAACAGAGGAAGATTTCACTGTCATAGATGGTTTACAATATTTCTGTACCGGTGATATAGGGCAAATAGACAGTGATGGAAGTCTAAGGGTGATAGGTGAGCACTGACATGATTTATATTCACTTCAATTTACTCTAGTGTCTAGAATTTAGTGATATAATGTCTAGTGATTTATAATGAGTTCATTCTATACACAGAAAATACAGATTATTTCTTTTTATAGATTTTCAGGTCTGTTGATTATTTGATCAATATACTTGAAATACCCTATTAATATGATCTGAAAATTTGGTTTATATATTGGAATGTGCTTATTTGTGATTTTCAATGTCTTTGATCATTATACTGAAAATATATTGAATGTAAGATCTAAGTATTCACCTGAAAATACTTTGGTTATACAGATTTTCTAGGCTGAAGATTTTGCTCAACAAACTTGGACTTGATTAGCTAAATTTCAGGTCTGAAGAGTTTTGTAGAAATATATGAATTTTTTTTATCTAAGTATGTTTCAAGAAAGATAAATTATATTGTAAATTTCAGATCGTAAAAAGGATCTTGTGAAACTACAGCATGGAGAATACATATCTCTCAGCAAGATTGAGACAGCATTAAAGATGAGCCCACTAGTAGAACAAATCTGTATCCATGCCAACAGTTCACAGTCTGTGTGTATAGCGCTGATTGTACCCAGTCAGAAAAACATTACAGAGCTGGCAAAGAAAGTGGGCGTGACTGGAAAAGAGATAGAAGACTTATGTGAAGATGAGAAAGTGGAGAAAGAGGTGTTGAAAGAGTTAGCTGTTGTTGGTAAAAAAGGTAAGAGGTCATTTGACAAAAGTTTAATATAAGAAATATGAAATAAATGTCTCGAAGAGTTCAATCATATTTATTTTCTTTTTTTTTTTAAACGTGTCTTCATTGTTAAGTGATGTATGTCTTCAAACCTTTTGCCCTCGTTTACTTATGAAGCTACAAAAATTATCAAATTAGCTTTTTAGTGTCTTAGTAACTTCAAATCCAAACTCACCTGTAAACTTGTCTTAAAATTTATCAATTTGTATGTGTTGAATTGTGTGTTTCATGTTGAATTATGTTTATCATGTTTGTATTTTGGTGCACAATGTTTGATATTAGACTTGTATTATATCATATTTCACTATTTGTTTTTAATGTGTTATTGTGTCCACAAATAAAGCTTCCCATAATTTACCTTATCAATATTTAAGTGACAGATGTCAAGTCTTAAATAGACAACAGTTCTAAAATTAATGTACTGGTATCCTTTCCTAGATTAAATCTGTTTGTCCCGCAACTATGAATATTAAAGTAAACAAATGAAGCTCTGTTATTACACTCTGTTTTTAATTGCAGCAAAATTGGAGAAGTTTGAAATTCCTGCCAAGTTAAAGCTGTGCCCAGAACCTTGGATGCCAGATACTGGACTGGTTACAGATGCATTTAAACTGAAACGTAAAAACATTGAAGAAACATTTAAACCCAGTCTGCAGAGGATGTACTCATTTGCATAAAATAATTAGACCACGATAGATCAAAACATGTACAATATTATAATAGTGTATTTTAGATAAATACTGGTATTGCATATAATATTGGCTATATTCAATGCGGAACAAATTTATATTTAGATGTAGCATTAATGCATGCATCCACTATAATTGTTACTCGTAATTTTGGGAAAGTTGGTATACTCTGTTTTGTAAGGTTTTTATTGGCACTGATTTGACTTCTTTTTTCTGTCTGTTCAGACAAACTTTGACCTCAGCGACATAATCCTTAGTATAAAAATCTTGTGCCATTTTAGTCATTTGCTAAAATTTCACTTATTTGGCTACTAAAATCACACAATTTTTTTTTAAATTGTCTTCTAAAACCACTAAAAATTTCTCCATTTTGTCTTCTAAAACCACTAAAAAATTTCTAATTTGGCTACTTTAATCACTAAAAATTTCTCTAATTTGACTACCTTAAACCACTAAAACTTTCTCTAAATTGTCTTCTAAAATCACTAAAAAAATCTCTATTTTCTCTTCTAAAACCACTCAAATTTTCTCCATTTTGTCTTCTAAAACCACTAAATATTTCTCTTATTTGGGTACTTAAGTCACTTAAAAAACCCATAAAGTTGGATAAAGGATTTTTTCAGCAAGAGTATGTCCTCATTGATCTTTCATACTGTACTTTACTATTGAAATGTAACAAGGTGCTTTGTACTTTTATTGTAACATATTTATAGGTATGCAAGATGTGTAATAAGATGAATGGAGTTGTTTAAATATTTTTATATTTTGAAATACCATAAATTCAGAGATGTGCTATTGTCTCTGGTACATTTTAGGGCAGATAGTTATGGAAATTTTGTTACTGAAGTATGTTGCCTTGAATTAAAAAAATTAAATTAAAAATCTTTCTTTTATATGCTAATGTACAAGTGATAGCAGTATTTCACAAATGATAATTATTTTTAAATCTATCTATGAAATATTTTTAATGTAGACTTTCCAGAGAGAATTCCATAATTTGATTACAATTAATAAATAAATTAATTTCATTGTGATTTGATCTTGAATCTACTAGAACTGGTAGGGATTAGCTTTCATAACCACTATAGAGCTCGGCTTAGGTGAACGTATGTGCAGTATAATCAGAATCTATAAGGTGAGCTGACCAACTCTAAATTTTGACTTTGATATCCCTTAAATTGATAACGGACAGTTCTAATAATTAAGAAATTGGCAGGTTAATGGATAAATGGCAATTAAGTAGATTAATTAATCATTATATATTGATGAATATAATATGGGTTGTTTTTTTTTATTTTGTAGGCTTTTTACTACTTGTATTTCTTGTGTATTCTGCATTGAAAATACTTTGGGATAATTGATTTTTTTATTCATAATTTACTTCCTTTTTTTATTTTCTAGTAACATATTGTTGGCAGTGTTTTATTTAATGAAATGATAATTAAATACCACAAAGTCCCATCCTGTTTTTTCATATAATATATTTTAAACATTTGTTATTTTTCTTTCAAGAAATGTTGTCAATGTCTTGTAATAAGGTATTGTCCGGGACTTTTAAATAAAACCTGTAGATATGTTGCAACTTTATATGTAACACGTATTGGGCTGTAAAGTAATCTTTGGGAAAAAAAAAATATTTTTCATGAAGTCTATTGTAAAAAGTTAGATATATTGTAACATCAATGAGTTTACTTGATTTTAGAAAATCCCCAACAACTTAACTTTGAAGTGTAACATTAAATTATTTTAACTATAAAGGTTATAAAAGATTCTTTACAGTTTGTGTATCAAAAATGATATGAGCCGTGTCATGACAAAACCAACATAATGGGTTTGCAACCAGCATGGATCCAGACCAGTCTGCGCCTCCGCTCAGTCTGATCAGGATCCATGCTGTTCGCTATCAGTTTCTCTACTCGTAATAGGGTTTGTAAGCGAACAGCACTATGTTGGTTTTGTTGTGACTCGGCTCATATGTGAAATCATGGAAATGTCCTTGCATGTAAAGATTGACAGACATGTTTTACATTGTTGTTTTGTCCAAGTTTGTAAAACTTGAAAAAGTCCATTTCTTTTATATATTTACTAGTAGACTTGCTTTAAATTTTTGTTAAAAACATGTGTATATGTTTTTGTTGCATTTGTTGTAGTTGCTTTTATTATGAAAATAAATTCTTATTGAATTACCTGAAATAAAATATATTCAGTGCTAGATTGAAATGTTTTTGCTGTTCACTCAGTGTTTTGTTTTGTTTGGTATAACGCGTGTTGTGATAGTATTTTAGTAATACTAATAATCAGCAACCTAACGATTCTGTCGGACCTTTCCAGTGTTTACAGTTTTATGTAAATTGGCTAACTTGTTATCCAATTGCTACACTGCTATAATTCATAGTGACTGGTTGACCTGGTTTGCACAAAAGAACACGTGGTTATGTTTGTGATACTGTTTGTGAGCAGTTGACCTAGCAATGAATGGAAAAGGTGTGGCTAAATGTTCCGCTACGAAAAACCGGAAATGTAAAAAAAAAAATCGTATTCTAAACTCCTCCTTATTAATCATTTGAAATAACATTGTAGGAACTACAGCGTTGACCTAAATATTTATAATGACAATCAAATAGGCTTGTGAAAGGTTTTGCCATATCTGAGAACTTAAGCTAACAAAATATTAATAGATGCAAGTATGTTTGTCATTCATTATGTCCCTCTGTTATTGGCCTTTCCGGTGTTTAGCAGTGTAAAATTTAGCCCTCACTCCTTCAATTTCTATTCATTTCTAGGTACATTATCACAAACAATACCATATGTTTTCTTCCTGTGCTTTGATTTAACAAGAATTTGAGCTGCCAACAATTCAGAGCCTGATCAGCCGGCACGGTGCGGGTAATGCTAGCAGGTTTGGCACTAGTCTGGTGGGGCAAAGGCTAATCGCTCGATTCCAGCAGAGAAATGATTATAACACCACCTTGTCGTCTGCGTAATGTCAACGTCAAAATTTGAGCCGCGTCATGACAAAACCAACATAGTGGGTTTGCGACCGGCATGGATCCAGACCAGCCTGCGCCTCCGCTCAGTCTGATCAGGATCCATGCTGTTCGCTATCAGTTTTGCTATAGTACAGTCCCTGGGGACCTTTTGTGTGCAAAAAAGGTCCATGGATAAATGTTATACCAATGTAAAGCTAAATGTTTGAAGTTTACAAAAAATTTGGGTAGACATGTCAAATCATGGTACGTTTTGAGAAATCCAAGATGGCCGCCAAGATGGCCGCCAAATTATAGAAAAATGGCTAATACGCAATTTATATGATAAAATTAGTTCTTTTTTGTATTTATTTTGGTACAGGTGATGTTAAAACTTCACATCCTATTGGAACAATATGAAAAAGGGTCCTTTTTCCATTTTCTTATACATATACTCTTGTTTTCATAGAGAAATTTTGCTAAAAAGGCATGAAAAAGTATCAAAAATCGACTTTGGGCTGGCATTTTTTCCTTTCAGTCGAGGCATAGTGGTGAAAATGAGTATTTTTACCATATATTACAAAGACCTGATCAACAACTTACTAATTGTACCTTTATTTTTATTTTTATTGGGTAAGGATGTGAATTTTGACATTCCTAAAGTGGGTGGGGTACACAAAAATTGAGTCCCAATTTCTAGTGAATTTATATATAACGATTATTTAGACTAAGAATAACCAACAATATTACATTTTGAAATGTTTTTAAAGTCTTTAATTTTTTAAAGGTAGATTTACATTCAACCAACAACATTAATTGGTTCTGTTGCCATGGCAACAAAGTGGTAAAATGAGAGAAACCCGGAAATGTATGAGGTTTTCAGTTTTATCATTTCAAGCATGTTGTAGAAGTTAATGTCATGATTATGCATTACAGAATTCAGAGTTGGATACTTCACTACATTTACTTTCCGTGAAAAAACACAAATATGAATTAAAACATCGGTAACATTTTGCTGAACAGTTACTGTAACAATAAAAACGCTTAAAGTTTTAGAGGCAAAAGATAATAATGAAATCTACTCAGAGTTATATTGAAAAATAAAATTTATGCTTGATGTTTGGCCCGATTTGTGAAAAAAGCTTTTCAACATTCTTCATTTATTGGTCATTAAATAATAATAATAATAAATAACAAATAAAGCAAAAAAAATTCCACAGATCAAATGTGATAAGAAGGAAGAGACAATATGTCAATATGTTGTGATGAAGAACGTCTTCAAGATAATGTGCCATGGATGCATCTGAAAAACCTCTCATCTCAATGCAATACAAGCCTGAGATGATAAATATTTTAACAGTTGGAGAAACATGGATAAAATCACCATTTTGTGTTTAAAATTTGACGCTTTCTTCTATTCTAAAAAAATATAGAGCAGCATAAATTATAAATCCTGTATAGATGTCTTGCTACGCAAAACAAATAGGCCATATTCCACCGTTGCCTCAAAATTCTTTATAAATTATTTTGTGACCTACAGGTCAGACCACCTAATGCTTTGTTATACGGTCAGTATGTCTTAAATCATCATCAACAAACTCCGGACTGTTCATCAAATGGCGTCTTGTCTTATTACCAAAAACAACCCCTCCATTTAAACACATTAAAACGTTGTATAGAATCTCCATTGTTTTACCTATTGAAAATCGGGTACAGTAGGGACAAACTCCAGTATACATTAAGAACAAGCTACAGAAGAATGTACACAAAACTACAACTTAAAAGTCTCAAATTAATTATACAATATAAGTAATTCCGATATGTAAACAATATGAGTTAGAAATATATGACTTTTTAAGTAGATGGCGGTCTATTATAAATCACGTTGAAAAGAATTTAATGGTATGTTTATATGCAAATAGTTTTACATAGTCATATCTAGATTTGTATAATTGTTGAAATTTCATTTAATGTCGAGAATGCTTTCTTAATGTTTATAACTATGATTAAACGCATTTAAACATGTTATATACATCAGAGAGGCACTTAATAAATTTGGTGTAATGATAGATTTAAATTTGCTTTTGTTTTTGACCGTTTTTACCAGTTATAAGAAAATACGTGTTTGTAAAACTTTAGGAGCGATTTTTGTACCACTCACACAAAAAGTATGTAAATTGTCGTCACGTCGTAATAAGCTATAAGTGATATATAGGTGAGCATTCAAATAAAATCTCAAAGACATTAGTAATCATATCAACTGTTACAGTTTCGTTATTTTCTCATCATCAATACATATCAATAAATCATGTGGAATATTACCCGCGGCTGAACGTATCCAAAATTCATATAAGCTTTGTTTTAAATAAGTCATTATAAAAGTGCAGTCTTAAAACCATAGTTTCAATGTAATTGGAGATGAAAAAAACCAGCATTTCTCAAATTGTCCCGTAGCATGTAAGGCACGTTAGTGTGTTCCAAATTAAGATTAAGTTCAGGATGTATTTGAATTTGGAATCAGGATGAACATATGACTCTGATTTCTTTATTTTACAAACAATTTTAATGTTTTCTTTATTTGAATAAGCCAAATTTCACTTTTTTATAGACTTTGCAATTCTGATTTGCCTTAAAAGATGATCAGAATGTGTAAATATTATGAAATAATGCACGGAGGGAAACATATTAAGGCCTTCCACAGTAAAGCAAAAAGTCGCCACAAAGCCTTTTAAAGTAAAAATAGGCTATATTTGAAAATATTTGACAGAATTTTGTTTTTGTTGTTGTTTTTTGCACAAATCGGATTGTATATCTAAGTCACAGAAGTTAAAAAAAGAACTGACAATGCATTTGTTTTCAAATATTCACAGAAATAAATAAAAAGATCTTGAGCTTTTATATGTATGGCTTTTTCAGATGGGACTGAACCAACATTGTTTATCACCTTTCACGTAGCGGAAAGGGGATTATAGGAATGCCCTCTGTCTGTCAGTTCGTCCGTCCGTAACACTTTCGTGAACATTTTTTGAAATAACTTGGCACAAGTGATCACCATAATGAGACATATGCAAAGCGCAATAATTGGGTTGCTACCCCAAGGTCAATGTCACACTTTAAGGTCAAATGTTAAAAGTCTTCATTTAATTATAAAAGGTCTACATTTCGTGTCCACTCCATAACTTTTTTAACGCTGAAAAGTTTTGAAATAACTTGGCACAGCGGATCACCATTATGACACGACGTGTAGTGCGCAATAATTGGGTTGCTACCCAAAATGTCAAGGTCACACTTTAAGGTCAAATGTTAAAAAGTCCACATTTTGTGTCCGCTCCAACATTTTAACCGCTGAAATTTTTTTAAAATATCTTGGCATAATTGATAACCAGTATAAGAACATGAGCAGAACGCAAAAGCTGGGTTGCTGCACCAAAGGTCAAGGTCAAATGTATAAAAATGTACATTTTGTGTCCCCTCCAGAACTTTTAAACCTATGAAATTTTGTTTAAATAGCTTGGCACAATTGATTGCCATTATGAGACGATATGCAGATCGCAATAATTGAATTGCTACCCAAAAGGTCAGGGTCACACTTACAGTTCATATGTTAGAAAGTCAACATTTCGTGTCTGTCTCTAACTTTTAAACCTCTGATTTTTTTTTAAGATAACTTGATCATAATGATCAACATTATGACACCATTAGCAGAGCACAATAATCAAGTCACAACTCTGAAGGTCAGGGTCATACTCAACGGTCCAATTTAAAAACATCTGTTTTCATGTCCGCTCTATAACTTATTGACAATTCAAAGGTTTTAAAAATACTAAGCACAAATGATTCCCACCACGACACAATCTACAGACCTCAACATCCAGGTTGCTGCAACCAAGGTCAAGGTTATATGTTCTCCATAACTTTTTGACTTTATGCAAGATTTTAAATAACTTGGCACAAATAATCACCATCGTGAGACTATGTGCTTATGATATGCATGACACAACATCAAGGTCATAATTGGTAAAAGGTCAAGAAGTACACATTCATATTCCTTATGAAGCCCCGGAGTTAACTTTCTTTACACAGTGTAAATATAGGAAAAGCATGAAAATATTCTTCTCCATAACTGCAGGACCTAGTATAGAATACTATTAAATTTGCTTTAATTACGACCTTGTGGTCAAATTCATTTATGCCAGGGTCATTTCATTTAAAATACAGGAAAAGCTAAAAAAAAAAACTTCTCCCAAACCGATG